CACCACCTTTTGCTGGTGCAGTTTAGCTATAGTATATTTATGGTCCAACTGGTTTAGGGTTTGGGATTTAGGGTTTAGGGTTTAGGGTTTAGGGTTTAGGGTTTAGGGTTTGGTAGTTTCCCAAAATAAGGGGACCCCAATATAGACCCCAAAATACTATAGTCCTTATTACAGGGACCCTCAAAATGGTACCCCTAATTTTGGGAAACCCCCATGATTCAGGGATGTAGGGACAGCTAGGGATATCTATATATCTATAGACCGAAATAATTACAGGGATACATAGGGACTTGTAGGGATAATGGAGAACCAAATGAAAATTGGAATATGAAATTGGAACGGGGTTCACCTAGTGGTTCATGTAGCGTCGAATCTTCATCTAGGGTAACAGAGGCAGCCACATTTACAATTTTGTGAGATGTTGTGGGCTTCCGTAGTGCAATTGATTGCATCCAAACAAAGCCAAACCCTACACAGTAGTTCCCATAAATAGGGGGACCCCACTCCAGATACGATCATCCTTATCACTGGGACTCCCAAAATAGTACACCCAATTCTCGGAAACACCCATAGTAAATCCTGCACAAACTTAAGTCCGTAATGTCCTGGGAATTACAGTGGCTTAGGGGTCTTTGGTGGTGCAAAACGTCCTCCATCAACAGTCTATCCCTACACCCTAAGATCCTACACCCTAAACCCTAAATCCTAAACCCTAATCCCTAAATCCTAAACCCTAAATCCTAAACCCTAAAACCTAAACCCTGCACCCTACATCCTAAACCCTAAATTCCTACACCATATCTGTCTCATCCCAGGTGGCCTGGCCTTGCCATCTGGCTTGCCCAGGAAGAAGCGAACAAAGCCCGCAAGGCAGCCCAGGGATGCGCCCAGCAAAGTACCCTTCCTTAGAAGGCTTAGGGACTTTGGGTTTCCTGTTTGGGTGATGTAGGGTTTAGGGTTTAGGGCTTAGGATTTAGGGTTTAGGGATTTAGGGTTTAAGGATTTAGGGTTTAGGGATTTAGGGATTTAGAGTTTAGGGTTTAGGGAGTAAGGTAGACCCCTGAGTTATAAACCCCCTCCTGCAAAGGGCCTGAATAGTAGGATCCCCATTATGATCCCTATTAAGGGGAGGGGGTTTGTTAATCAGGGGTCTGGATTAATGGAAAAGAACATGGAAACTAGAGGGACTACAGGGATTATATAGGGGTTATATGGGTATGCTAGGGAATGTACTGGGGGTATATATTAATAATGGAAAAGAAAATTGAAGCTATTATTTAGGGTTTCAAGGTGTTAAGGTTTAGGGTTCAGGATTTTGGCTTTTGGGGTTTAGGTTTTCGAAGTCATGCGACGAGATTAGGGATGGAACACGGAGTGTGCGGCTTCGATCATTGCACGACTTGAAAAATCAGTTGGGCAAGTGGTTACCCTCGGTATGAAACCCTTAACCCTAAACCGGAACAAGAACTGTGAGGCTCCATGTGCTCCACTGAGTGGGATCCATCACTTCGGGTTGTGCAGCGTTAAGAAAAATTGCTTACGGTTCAGGGGTCAGGGACTACGTCTTTAGGATTTCAGGTTTTGGCAGATAAAGGCTCATTGTAGGGTCCTTGAGGGCATCATCAGAATTCGGGATATTAACCCCAATAATGGGGAATCAAGTGGAAAAGCACATGAAAAATGACCATGACATGGAAACTGAGATTATATAGGGATCTATGGGTGGTAGTGGGTTTTCGGAAGTTAGGGGTCCCTTTTTGGGGTACCTATAATAAGGACGATAGTATATTGGGGTCTATATTGGGGTGTCCTATCTTATGAAAACTACCAATTCTACAGGGATTCTCTACAAGCAGCCATACACACCGGATACTGTAGTGAGTGTAGCAATATGTTACCGAGGTAGGTCGAGTGCGTATCCAGGCCTTGGGCAGCAAGGCATGTGGTTGGGGTGCAGGGAGACAAACCCCAAGGAGTTAACTGAAGATCAAGCACAGATGAGTCTCCCAGCAGCAAGCGTTAAAGCAGCGACATCGGCCATCTGGGTGCCTATGTGGTGAAGGGGGTTTCCTGTCGGAATGCGGCTCCAAATGGGCTTGAGTGGAGAATGCAACAGCTAACTGCCCAGCTTTGAAAGAATACGCTGGCGGATCTTAACATCATTGTCTGTCAATGATGTGCGCGTAGGGTACACCTCAAGCTGTTGCCAATCGCCTCGAGTATTCATGTGGCTTTCGCTGCTTTCGGTGTGGTCTCTTTACTGGTTGTGAGCTGATCCTTGCTTGATGGTGCGAAGCCCGGCGAACTTGATGGTTCAAAATCCGCCGGACACAAGCGGCTTTAGAAAATGTCATTCAAATCCACGGGGCTGTGTTCGCTTGGTGGGTTCCAGTTGGGGGACACCTCTAAACATCAAGCATGCGCTGCCGCATTAGATCTTCTGGATTTGCTTTCAAGTGAGAGGACAGCAACCTTGGGACACACAAGATGTGAGTCTTGGGGACTTTCAAACGCCCATGGGTAGTTTGAAAGAGAAAACAGCGCCCCAAGAGGTTCAGCAAGGTATGACTGTTCCTTACATCTAAACGTGCTGGCAAGTCTTGCAAGCGTGAATGTATGATGTTGCGTGGCACAGCGATTGGCACGTGTACTTTGATAGTCCGGCTGCTCCTGCCTACTTGCAAGTTAGAGACTTGCAGGAGTGACGGTTTGGATGCCACTATCCGAACAGGATAGAGGATGTATATGCACAACGCATCGCGGACTAAAACTTACATGCCTGTGCTATACACGCCGTACACACTGCGCGATATGACTCTGCAACATTACATGCAAGACATGTCAAAGCCAACATGCTGAGTTTACCAATGTCGAACATGGCAGTCGCAAGTTTTGCTGCGCCAGCGTACAGCGTACTCGCTCCGCTGTTCGGCGCGAGCCTCTGCGTCGCCTGGCAGAGCTGGGAGCGATGGATGACCTCGTTGTACTACACTCTGAGCTTTAGGGGCTACTTCCCTTCAAATTAACATGGAACCTTCAACAGGAGCCAGCAGAGAGTGAAGACTACTGTCTCTAAAGCAAAAGTCTACACGTAGTTCCATGTCAATTTGCGATAATGACACCAATCTGACATCAACGTCATTAGGATGCTCATTGTAACCAGCTGCGTCAATCCTGCGTCAATGTAATCCCACATAACTTATATATTCTGTTATTCCCTACCAACCCCAGTAAGGTTTCTGAATCGGTCGATCTGTCTGCTTTTGTTCTAGCCACATTGGTGTTGAATGTACGTCAGTTTAGCTAGCAGGAGAGCTTTTGCTGTGCTCCATGGAGAACAGCTGCATCCTAAAGCAAAGCAGTAACTCAACAACTGGCTAGAAAATCGGAGAATGCTAAACACAATCCTTAAACCCGATTCGACAGGCAAATCACTTTCCTATAGGTTGTTGGCCATCCCAATTTGTCAAAGGTAACTTGTCCTTGGCGAGCTCCACATGCTTGAGGCAGAGGGCATCTGGCCTGCATGCGTCATGGCTCATTTTCTAGGAGGGAGACGGGGGAGGGAGTAAGGCCTTTACCTTTGCTGCTGTTAAGGAACTTAATTTAAGTGGGGAAACCCTATCATTTACTATATATGCCCCTTATGGTAACTTAATTTAAATTCCTTAGCAGCAACCCAATAACTGTTCTGCCGCTGCAGTCACAGTGCTGGAAGAAGGAACCACAAAAAAAAAACACTGCGTCGAAGAGGTCTCTCCACATCCAAAAAATTCACCAGTTCTGGGCCACCAGTCACCAAGGGAAACCCAGCAAAACCACCTGCTTACACTTCATCGCAGCTGATGTGCGATAGCTGCTCTACCAGTCTGTCCGAAGAGCGTCCTTCGAGCCTGATTGACGCAGAGAGAAGATCGTTGAGCACCCGCTGTGCACTCGATGGGTCCCTCTGCCTCTCAAAGCTGGGCTGAGATTGCTTTCGCTATCGGTGGCCCATTACAACACTGACGATTGTCTGTATGTATATATATATATATGTGTAGTACATGCCTTTACGCGTTTTATGTGCTTGTATTGCCCTGCATATCCATATACCGACCGGTGCGCTGCTTGATAAGCCACGCCTGCCGTATGCCATGATCAGTGAGGTGGCACTTGCAAGGGTGGGCCTCAGATCTGGTGCCAGTTGCTGAGTCTTAGGATATGCTTGAAGGACGAAAGGGCCTCACTTGTTAGACTAAAGCTCTGGGGTACATTACACTATATTGCACAGCAGTTAGGTAAGGAGTGGTAGGGAAGGATATTGGCATTTGTTCAGGCTTTTGCGTTACATGCCTGAGCTCAAGAGCTCAAGCTCAGGCATGGTTCCTCGTTTATGCTCAGAATTGTCAGCTGCATGATGCTTACCGTTGTCCTCTGCTTTCTCGGTACGACTGGCAACCTACACACTTACTTCCTTTTGCAACAATCATTCAATCGAAGCCGCTGCAGTGCAGTTTACTGCGTGTAGAGGAGTGTTGCCGCACTGCGTCAAGTTGTTCAAGAGCCATCTTGTACTACTCTCTTCCACAGCAGCCTAGCTTCACCATGCGACCATGGCCTGAGTCAAATTCCTGAATACCCGGATACGCGAACCAGGAATAAAATTCCTGAAGCCAAAGCCCGTCCACTAAGTGCTTCCCGAAGTTCTGACCAGCTAGAGCACGCAAAGAGTCTACATGGGATTTCTGGGAGCCAGCTGGGCATCAATAAATTGAGAAAAAGTTCAGCGAAAGACATTCAACAGTGGTGCAAGATCTGACTGAGGAATTGAGATGTATGCCTTGTAGTGCCTTGTAGACCTGGGAAAAGCTTTTCTGGTACACAAGACACGGTTGGTAGCGAGAATTTTCGAGGCCTTCAATAATCGTACGTTGCACTTGTTAACCTCACGATGCTCTAAAACTTTACAATCCCAGCACAAGTCCCTGGAGTTCCTAACAGATCCTGCGTGAGCCGTACGCAATCCTGAGGTTCTGCCGACTAAGCAAGGTATGTGATGTTCAAAACCTTGGCCCATGCATGGGGTCCTCAGCTGGTCCATAAGCATTGAGTAACCGCCTGATACTGATATTGAATACCCCCAACGCTAATATTGAATATGGCCCCAATATCTTAGGTCTCTTAGGGGGGATATCTCATATTAGCAGATGGGGGATACTTCATATTAGTATGAAGTAATTAAAACAGGTGGCCTGATCCCCCCTGCGAAAGGCAAGGACCCGAAATACTGTTGATGGGCGAAATCCTGCATGAGCTATCTAGGTTAGGAGGACCCCCCCACCCTGCAATAGCGGTATAATGGGAATATGAGAGGACCCTAATATAATCCCTATTGTCCCTTATAGCCACTATTACAGGGTGGAGCACCTAATCTCTAGGCCAGCATCCTCTGGGATTATGTTGTGTCCAGCGAGGGTAAGACTTTTGGGTTTTGAAGCCCTGATGCCCCAAAACCCAGAACCCTCAATCCTGAAACCCTGACCAGGGACCCCTGTTTTTTGCAAGACCCCACTTGACCCTAATCCCACGCACCCTGCAACTCTCTAGCCCAAAAACCCTGACTCCAACTTGCAGATAGGAAACGCTCCCTGCAGGCGGAAAAGCTCCTCGGCGCGCGACATGCCTTTTGCCTGCGCATAGAGACGTGTCTCATCCAGGGTTGCTTTTAAGGATCTTAGGATCAGTTTAGGGTTTAGGGTTACCATGCTGGGTTGCCCTACAGCCCGTTGTACGGGGATACAGGGGTAAAAGAGTGTCGGGGTTTAAGTTACCACAAACTGTTTAGGTTTTAGGGTATAAGATATAGGAACTTATAACCCTACGCCAGAATGGAAAGTCAAATGGAAAAGAACAATGAA